GCTGGCTGGCAAGCCAACGCCGGAAATCCTACCGCCCACGTACGTTCGTGCACGCAACGAACGGGTGATGAGTGTTTGGTACGAGGCCTTGTACGTCAGCGTTTCAGAACTGACCAGACTCTGCAACGGCCTTGGTCCGAAGCAGCTGGGCCTTGGGAAGCCAATGGTCTTGACGCTCGAGGATAACACCACCTTGAAGGGGTATATCCTCAGCTTGGAGGGTGTTGACCCGGCAGTGGCTCAGTCTCTGAGGCACATCCGTGTTGAGCGCCGTTTGGGTGTTCATATGGATGAAGAGCTCATGGCACCTCGCCATCAGCTGATCAAAGGCCGTGAGAAGCACGTCTTCGAGCATGTCTGTGATGGGCATGCTGCACACCTCCCGAGCAAGCTCATGAAGGGCAACCTCAGGACAAAGATGATGACTTTGTCGGCCTTGCATGAGAAGGCCAAGGAGGTCGATCAGGCAAAGTGTGGCATCCACATTGACATAGACATAGTAGCTGCTGTAGCTGCTAAAGTCTGCACAGCAGTAGTGACAATAGTCAATAGTGCATGTTGTAGGGTTGATGCTAGCTGCTGGGTGCAAGTTGGCAGCAGCTTGCAGGGAAGCCACAGGTCGAGGCTAGTTTTTTGGCTTCTGGTTTTAGGCAACGGTTGATATCCAGGTCAGTACAGGTTAAGGTTCAGAAAGGATTCAATTCTGCGGACAATATGCACATAAGTAATTGTCGTTGTCATCGTGTGTGTGCTGCTAGTTCAGTGCTGTGTTCTACTGATGCCGAATGCAGGGGTCATCCCACGATCTATGCATGCCCTGCAGGGGCTTATCGGCTTGTCTTCTTTGAGATTTTTTCACATCTGTTGTGTCACGAAACTTTACCATCCCATGGCTCTTTGGAGGAATTTGTTTCTCCATGTCAACATTGTGTGGCTGGTGAGAGGTCGTTCCATTGGTAGACTCATAAATGGTAGACAGGTCGGTCTCGGCCTCTTACCCTGACTAGGTCCATATGTCCTTTTGTCGTGAAACTTGAGCTTTGGAGAGCTGGTAGCTGGGGAGCCGCTATCTGCTATCGGACTGCTATCGCTTGCCACCGTACTTAGCGGCTTAGCCATACTTTTCTAGTCTTCCTAGTCACTCCTGGTCCTTGTCACCTTGAGTTACCTGGAGCTGTCACTGCAGTGGTGTAATGTAGCTTTGCATCAACCCTAAGAACCAAAGTGGTGCAAGGCTACCGGGAACGGCGAGCAGGGCGGCTTCGACGAGGATGAAGAGGGCGAAGAAGAGGAGCCTCGCGAGCATGACGATCTGGTGGAGGACACTGACATGGAGGTGGATGACAAGATGAGCATGGCGTCGGGAGCCACTGGCCTTTCCAGGTTCTCGAAGATCACGAAGCAGCGCGGTGCTCTCAGCATCGTGCCGCAGAAGATGGACTTGGGCAGTGTGGCTGCCGAAGCGGCGGAGACAGCACCAAAGAAAGTGACGAAACGGAAGAAAGCGGTGGTGGAGGAGGTACCGGCGGAGGAGGGCGATGCCGAGATCGTGAGCTTAATTGGCGATGAAGCGCTGGACAGCGACTTGCAGGAGATTGCAGACGCACTCGGCGAGATACCGCGATGTTTTGCGGGTCTCAACGTGGCCCGCATCTTGTCGGCCGACCTGAAGCCAGGCCACCAAATCAAGGGTGTGGGCAACTCAGTCTGCTGTATTCTCACAGAGTGTTAAATTTAAATTCAAAGTGTGCTAAGTGCAAAGAGGGGATGAAGGAAGGTTTCACTCGAAACACACACATCAGGTGACTCATAGTGACATGGTGTTTTCCAATCTCCTCTGACTTTAAGACTACTTCGTGAGTGTCTAGTCTAGAGTCTAGAGACTTTTGTTTTGAATCTGTTACTTCCGTTTCATGTTGTCTCATGCATATTCACTCACTCAGCTGGCTGACCTCTTCCATTCCTATAATATAGCTGTCACTGTAGCTAGCTGATTCCCACACACACAAACAGGCTGACAGATGCACTGAGTCAGTAAGCATCCGTGGAAACAAGAGTCACACGAGTTGATGATCACTGTTAAGTCTACGTTCTGGGTCTGATGTTTTCAAACTTCATTGCTTTTTGTTTGTCATCTGTCATGTGTCAGAGTCAGAGGAATCCCTTTCGATGCATGTCAAACTGTCAAACTGTAGCATGCTTGTTGGAAAGTGACATTGCGGATCCTGCAAATTCGAGTCAACGGCATTGGTCTAGCCGCTAGCCGCTAGCCAGTAGCTGCTTGCTAATGTTTGCAGGTTAGTGTGTGTGTGTGTGTATTTTGTGTGTGCCAAAAGAGCAAGAGGTTATGTCCTCCAAATTATATGCTGGCTTCAGCAACCAAAGAGTAGAAGCAGGTGCAAAGTTCCACATGTTTCAATGTTTTTGTGACAGGCTCTGTGGTGAATGCTGCTCGAGGTGGCAAGGCAGCCTCTTTTCTCCCAGAATGCCTAGACTTGTCTCCAAGACGTGCTCGGTTGATGCAGTGTCTATGTCTATGTCTCTGTGCCAGTCGTTTATCGCAGCGGCATCGTCTGTCCTGCGCTCTGTGTCGGTTCTTGTGTATGCCATACCAAGCCCGTGTAGCCATCACCATACTTGCTGCTTGTTCCTGTACTGGCCTACCCAATCCAAATCCACACCTTGCAATGTTGATTTTATTGCTGATGTGGTCCTCAGCTTGAGGCCAGAACCATCCTGGAAAAGATGCAACAGAAGAAGCAGAAGGAGGCTGGGAAGCTGGAGAAACGCATCGACCTGGTCTCGCATCTTTCGGCCCTCGTGTACGGCAAAATCAAGGAGATGAAGTCCCATGAGCTCGTGCTGCACCTGCAGCACTGTGACGAGAGTGGCGTCAAGTTGACCTTTGACCTCAGGTGTCAGTACCTTCTGCGCCGAGCAGAGGACTTGATGGCACCCTTGCAGGAGACCAGCAAGAAATCCGTTGCCCAGTCCACCGTGGATGCCATCGTTCGGTGCTTTGCCGTTTGGAGCCCCATGAGGGCCAAGTCGGAGACAGAGCTGACGGCCTGGCAGGTTTGGTCGGATGAGAAGCAGAGGCTGGAGAAACAGGCTGAGGATGGCACGATCGCCGATGAGGAGCTCGAGAGCTTGACCGAGAAGCAAGGGCAGGTTTTCGGCAGCTGTGTGTGGCATGATGTCATGTGTTGAGATTTGTAAAGTTTTGTCATAAGTACAAATCACTTCACAACGACGTCGCGTTCTTGGATCACAACCATGTGCTCTGTGTGTGTTTCAATGATTCAAGGTTCAATGCCTCAATGCACCCAGGACCAAGGTTTGACGCCCGTTTGCACGTTGCATCGGGTTCCGGCCTGACTGAAGTGGGTTGTGTGGCATGCAATATGCTCGTGTGTCTTGTGTGTGTCTTTGTGTGTGTGTGTGTGTGCAGGTGTGGGTGTGGGTGTGGGTGTG